AGTACCGCTTACCACCTTTCGATTGCGAAGACTTCGATTAGCCACTTACAGTACCGCTTACCACCTTTCGATTCCCTTCCATAGGCTCTATGACTTTCTTTGGCCTGGGTTGCTGGAGCTTGCTTGGTTTTCTCCATGTAAAAGAATCGATTAATTTTTCTTGGCTCTCTCAAACTGATGTTAAAGTGATCTGACCGGCTCACTTGGTGTAATGGACAATTATTTTATTCCTGATCCCGCACTATGCTTATTGAACCCATGTTTTGTAGTATCTACTACAAAACTTATTTCTTATAACAAGTTATTCCACTAAAAAATGTCATAGGTGAGCCGTGAAGTAGGCCATATACGTATGCAAAATGTGTGTGAGAAGCGGGAATTTGCTGTGAACAATCCCATTTTCCGCGAGACGGAGATCCATAGTATTTTATATAAACTTATAAAGAAAATGTTATTTTTTTCAGTCTAGCCTGGAAACATACGTTTACGTTAACACAATTAATTGATACGCACTACTGTTCAAAGTATCGGAGATTTTGATTCATCCGTTAAAGAGATATTTGAGAATAAGTTGCGCCACGAATTTTTGACGGTACTATAGACTGAGTGTTCTTGAACTTCTGTCCTTTTGTGGACTTTTTAAGGCTCCCAGCTTATTTATTTTGACAGGTCATATCAGAAAAGGACATAAATTTGGTGGTCCTGCCTCTTTTAATAATAATAGTGTTGGTAGGGCGTTAAACCTGTACCCATTTTATTATGCTTACTTTAAGTTTTACTTGTATCATACGATACAAATTGAGCGTATATAAAGGTTCATATGTGATTTTAAAAGTTGTTTCTTCTACAGCGAACCCTTTAAATGGGAATGCCTATTGTACTCATGTGTGTCAATGACACCACCTCTACATGTGTTTAAAGGGCGTGGGGGGGGGGGGGGTTGGGTTTGGAAGTTGTGGGTAAGGAGCGGTGATTGGTTTGATCGTAGCATTTTTCTGAGGAGTTTGGAGCTCTCTCTAAACGGGCGTGAAATTTTCTTAAACTTAATACACGTGCTGGCACACACACGTACACACACGCGCACACACGCACACACACACACACACACACACACACACACACACACACACACACACACACACACAAGAACGCACAGATACACACACACAGACTGGCGCTCGCAAACACACACATACGCGCTCGCACTGGCGCGCATTCATACAAACACAAACACACCCAGACACAGACGTTCAGACACACACACACAGACACACACGCACACACACGCACGCGCGCACACACACACACACACACACACACACACACACACACACACACACACACACACACACACCTACCTCCCTGCATGATTTGAGCCAGACATCTCATTCCGAACTGAACACTTAAGTGAAAATTGGGAGCAGTTGGAAAAACACATTCAGACGACATCTTCTTGGAAGAGGCCTCAAAAGCACACGAAGAGTCTGTTGGAGCATTTCTTACTGTGATAGCGTCGGGCAAGAACAGGGCTATCCCTGCCACTTTTCCTCCTTTCCGTGCCAGCTCCTCTACTTTTAGCTTTCCTTTCTAGAAAGAAAGAAGGCAAGAAAGAAGGCGATGAATATTATGTTTTATGCAATTTATGTAAGCACTTTTTCTGAGGGTTCGGCGGGAGAATGTTTCTTTTTCTACATCAAGTGCCAGGTCTGAAGCAGACATCGGCTATCATGGTTCGCCACTCATTTGTCTGCTTCGATGCTCTAGGGAAAACTATCATTATTATCCTTGTCTTTTCTCACCTCAAGTTCTCTAGGTGAGTTCTTCTTACTTCACCTCTGCCTCTTTTGCCTTCCTTTTTTTTACGAGGAGAGTGAGATGTTAAATGCCTTTTTGTGGATTCATGTGTCGTAGAAACTGCTTGTTTCTCTTTGTAATTGTATTATAAAGTGAGCATTTCCACGTTGGGTTCTTCTACCTCAACCTCTTTTGATATCAAATTTCTTTCCATTAAATTATCAAACATCGATAGTGAAAACACAGTTCTGTCTTCTCTTATATATTTGCAATATTTCTTTTTGTAATTCTCCAGCATTAACATCCGATTTGAAAGGTTGACCACACACAGTCTTATTTTTGTTGGCATTGAGATATCTCTATTTCTTCCGAACGGTGAACTCTTTAGTTCTAACCCTCTTCCTGATAAAATTGAGCCTTTTTTTTTCTTCCACATTCTTGAGTGCGGGGGCGAAACCTTACATTGATTTAAATTTCCAGTGGGGGTCTTAAACCCCCCCCCCCCCCCCCACACACACACAAAAAAAATGAACAATAACAACAAAAAACTTACAATTTGGAATTCTCTTTAAGAATCAATACTTTCTTATTTTCTGTAGAATTGAAGGATAATCTTGAAGCAGTTGTTGCGGCTTACCCAGTTAGCAACCTGCTTGGTATGCATTTAATGCAAAAGCTGTACACCCTCATCTACACTAGATGGGCC